GATATATCAGGACTGATGTTGATCATTGTGTGTTTGTTAAGAAGTTTCCAGGTGATAAAATCATTATCCTTTTGTTATATGTAGATGATATGTTGATAGTGGGACATGATATGAAGTTGATTGGTGATTTGAAGAAGGATTTAGCAAAGTCCTTTGAAATGAAGGATATGGGCCCTGCGAAACAAACTTTGGGCATGCAGATCATGCGAAACCAAAAATCCAAGAGGTTATGGTTATCGCAAAAACGGTATGTGAATCGAATTCTGTAGTGATTCAACATGAAATCGGCTAAGCCGGTCAATACACCGTTGGCCAATCACTTCAAACTCAGCAAACAAAGTTGTCATACGAGTCAAGAAGAAAAAGAAGTTATGGCAGGTGTTCCATACTCCTCTGTAGTCGGGAGTTTGATGTATGCCATGGTTTGTACAAGACCAGACATCGCTCATGCGGTTGGAGTTGTTAGCAGGTATCTTTCCAATCCTGGGAAGGATCATCGGGAAGCTGTGAAGTGGATCTTGAGGTACCTAAAAGGTAGTGCAAATAAGTCCTTGAGCTTCGGCAAAAGAAACCCAATTCTTGAAGGTTATACAGATGCAGATATGGCAGGTGACCTGGATAGTAGAAAATCTACTTCAGGGTTTGTGTTTACATTTGCATGAGGAGCTGTATCTTGGCAATCTAAATTGTAGAAATCTGTTTCCTTGTCGACTACTGAAGCAGAGTAAATTGCAATGACAGAAGCAGGAAAAGAAATGCTTTGGTTGAAGAAGTTTCTTCAGCAATTGGGAATGAAACAAGAAAGGTACGATATCCATTGTGATAGTCAGAGCGCATTGGATTTGAGTAAGAATGCGATGTACCACTCTCACACGAAGCACATTGATGTCAGATATCATTGGCTACGTCAAGTAGTGGAAGAACAACAGTTCAAGTTGGAAAAAATTCACACTAATGAAAACCCTGCTGACATGATGACAAAATTTGTAACAGGAGGAAAGGTTCAGCTTTGTGCCGAGTTGATCGGCATAGAATGCAAGTAAAGAACTGCAGTATATTTTCCTTTGGCTGGAGGGGGAGAATTGTGGGGACTAGCCACATGAAAGTCTAGCCAAACCTTGAAAAACAACAAACAAATCGTTGTAGATTCTAACAACTAAAGTTGATTAGGAATTTTTTATTAAAAATGAGTTGTTATGTCTGACAATGTGAATTGTCATTTGGAGCTTCATTTTCCTATAAATAGAGAGCAATGGGCAGAGCTGAAATCGCACCAAGAAGCAGAAAGAAAAAGAGAGAAGAAATAACATCTTTGAGTGTTATTTTTCAGTGAGATAAAAATAGAGTGTTTGAGTAAATCCTGTGAGTGTGGGAAAAATACACCGGGTGGGGTATCAACTCTATTACTTCTTGTTTAAGAGTGGGGTCTCACTGGGTCACTATATTTTACATTTCTAGTGTAAGGGAGTGTGAAAAGATATTGTAATTATCTTGAAAATATAGTGGAATTGTTCGGAGGTTGTCCCGTGGTTTTTTCTCTATTTGGAGGTTTTTCCACGTTAAATCTTGGTGTCTTATTTCTTGCATATTTTATTTATTTGGGGTATTCTTAGTATGCTCTGTGGTTGCAGTTTAATCTGATCTTTCACATCAGAAAAGAATTATTCCTGTATTATTGCAAGAGATTTCTTTTGTCATTCTTGAGTTGCTGGGGTTGGGATTATTGTTCACCATTTTTACCTTGATATTTTAATTTACATCTTCCGTATTTGCGCATCTGAGCCCAACACTATATGCTTCCTCAGGTTATATGCTTCCTCAGATTAGTTTACAGCTAAAACCATTATTATACTCTAAAAAGAAGAGAAAAACTTCACTAAGAATGACTGGTAGCAGTATGCACAAAGTGCTTTAAGCAAATACAGAAACCATTTCTTATACACCAAAATATTCCAAAAATCTGGACTAGATATATTTATTTCACGATTAAACAAATGGGGTGGCCTCTAGATTTGCAGTACAATAATTTCCTGGTCCAGATTCTATTTTCACAATAAAAAATACAACAAGGAAAAAATAAAATTTAGGGTTTTAAGTGAGCCCTCTTCAAACCGTGAGAAGCTTCAGACTTGGATAATTCGTTTTCCAGTAGAGATGTAGTTGCTCTTCAGCAGCCCTTTCTCTAGCGCCAATTGTTGATGCTCAAAAGTGTCAACAATATTGTTCGAACTGCATACTCAAAGATACACTCTGTTCGGTCTGCACGAATAGAATTACATGGTGTATTCAGAACGAATACTCGATCTATCCGTGACTTTTCTTAATATTATCCATGAAAAAATATAAGAATTAAACTCCATAAGAATCAAAAGAATGAATATCAAGAGATGAAGATGAAGTTTATTTTTATTAACAATGCTTTTTTGGGAGAAGAATGCCCCCCTCTCACGAGCTTGCTTCCCTTTTTATCACATCCCTTTTGGGAGATTTTATTGGATAAGATGAGATCCTCCTGGATCCTCTTGGATCCTCAAGTACATATACACATCACATCACAATATATGGATATTAATTAATATGGAATAAAATAATACAAATGATATTTTAATGTGCTGTATTTTTATTAATTGTAGCCAAATTGGGTATCATCAATATATAATTATTATTTAAGGTCACTATTAAGTATTCTAAATCAATATTTATCCTATTATATATATACAGAGACAACCTATTTACCAAAAGATAGTAACAAGAAAAAATCAACAGTCATTTAAGACATTCTATTTTCGGTAGTTTTTTCAAATTTCTTTTTAAATTTTGCCCAAAAAATCGAACAGCCCATAAATGCACCCGAAATTGTGTCAGTTGTTAGACTGACAATGCACTGGATTTGTTAAATTTATAAGTCGTCAGACTTACAAGATCCCATCCTTATACGTGAATCTCAGCAAGTTTTAAAAAAACTCATTGTTAGCTTACAAAATCTGTTGCATAAATTTGAGTTTAAAAAATCTCATCTCTTATTCAGAAATTTAAAAAAATAGAAAAAAAAAA